TTTACCTGGCAAAAAAAAAAAACTGAATTCCCGTCATCGGTGACGATCTAAGTATATTGTTGAAGCTGGGCATAACTGGAAAGTTCATGTATTATGAATTAGGGTGCCGCTATGTCTCCAGGACATCCCTGCATTCAACGTAACAGAGTCCCCACCATAGGGGAATGAATAAATATATGTATGACGCACCCCGCAATGAAGCCATCTCCAGACAGGACGGGAAATTTTATTCGATCGATGACCTGAGCAAGCAAGATATTTCAGTTATCGGCTATGATTAAAAATGTGGTCTCCTATCCAGTACAACAAGAATAATAGTTGTTGTGGTTCATTTAAAATCACTTTATCTTCTTTTAGACGGTTATTAACCAGTGCCTTAAGGTGTAGGTGATGACAGTGGAACGGAAGCTGATCGCTGGGTGTAAGGAATTTCATGTAAATTGAATTCCAAGAAATATTTGTAAAAATCGTTATAAGTGAAAAACTATAACTTCAGCTTGATTTTTGTTGATCTGCAGTCTTTCATATGAGATTTCAATAAGTAACGCGATGTCGAAAGACATCATGAAACAGAACCATTTGCAAAATATAAAATTATTGCTGGAGTCGGAACGCACTAATCTCATCGATGTCAATATTTATTCTGTACACAGTCAGTGTACACAGTCAATTTCGCGATTTCTCGCTTTTATCAGCTTGTACGTATCTTTTAAATACATATATATGCTGCAGTTAAAAAAAAACTATTTATTTAATTTTCATTTTAAATATATTATCCCTTTAGGTTGATATTTTAATGGTTATATCCTTAGATTTAATTTTAATTATTAGCTATACTTAGTTTGACTTTAATTTTAATATAGAAAAAAGTTTTAAAATTTCTTGAAAACTCATGATGGGAAAATGCATCCAGGAACGGTGAAGTCAGAGTCGTATCATGGGGAAAACCTCTATAATATCTTTTGCGAAAATGATAAAATTTAATTATCGAACGTTTTCCATCTAAAATTTTACACTTCGTTAAAAAAAAATCAGTCTTTGAGACTTTACGGGCGGATGCTTTGCAGGAACGCTGAAGACGCTGAAGTCGGAATCGTGTCACGGGGAAACCCTGGACCTGATCTGCCCACCTCGCAGCGACATCCACCTGAAGAGGGTTCACTTCCTTACCGACGAATCTTGCATCCAACACGAACTCTTCCCACCCCATTGCCAGAATTTCACCCATGAATCCAACAGAGCAGGCCAGGTCAGAAGATAGGCCTATACCATGTATATACTGTATATAGGAACATATAAATACTGTATATAATATCCGTCCTACGATATTTAAAAACGGCTTATTAGGCGAATGCCTGGTAGGGCAGTAGCCTGCTTCCAACCAAGGCGCACAGATAGTAAAAATGGAATTAACTGTGGTGCCATTCCCACCCAAACCAATCTAGGGGACGGGGGGAAAAAAGCCGCTCATCCCCCTCCCCCAGAACCTACAGGTTACAAAGCTGCTACAAAGTAATTTCTGAAGCCAGATATATACCTTAAGCTGCTGATTGCAAAGTAAGAACTTCGACCAAGTTAGACAGCAAGTGATGGTGCAGTTGTGTAACCTGACGGTTCTGTGGGAGGGGGATGAGCGGCTTTTTCCCCCCCGTCGCCTAGATTGGTTTGGGTGGGAATGGCACCACAGTTAATTCCATTTTTTTTTATATATGCAGTATATAGGCGGCGATTCATAGGGGCTCAGGGGGCTCGAGCCCCCCAAAAAATTTGGCAGAAGAATAAGGAATACTTGGAGTACTGCCTCTGAGCCCCCCCCCAAATTTCTCAAAATATCGCCGCCTATGTATATACTGTATATATGTTCCTACTCCATTCGCTGAGTAAAAAAAAGTAGAAAATCATTAAAATCTGAAGCTTTTAATGTGGGCTTTTATGGGGAATGAAGGATGGCTTTTGGCAGCAAGCACTTTCTCCTACAAAGAAGCCCATATTACAATCGTTCATGAGATTTTACCTTTTATTGACCCTCGGTATGCAGTATATGTCTTTAAAATTTAATTTAAATAAAAAACAAAAGAAAAGCAAGGCGAAGCTATAAAAAAGCCTACTCTCAGGGTAGGCTGTTTTTATCCTGGCTTTGCTTTTGTTTTCTTATCGTCGACTTGTGTATCATAGGCAGGCTGTCGGGAATTTTCCCCCCCAAACTGAGAGACGTTGGTGAAGTTTAGGCCATATTTTCTCATTGAGAACTTCTTATGCAAGTCATTGTGAAAGTAATCCATGCGTTCATATCGAAAATCTAAATGAAATCCAAGACCATATGAAATCTACGAGATAGGGCTTTATCAAAACTCATCCCGGAACAATCCGAGGTATTCAGTTGGAGCGAAGCTCTCCTCCATCTCTCATGCATGCAATGCATGCTTGAAAATAAAGATTTGACCCTGGAACTACCAAAACCCGGATGGTCATATGTTTAACTCTGTTTCATCTCTTTCATTCCCAAAGAATATCTTCAAAATACTTTGCCTAATTACTATCACATGTCTTCATGAAAATACACGAAGTATCGGATTCCTCGCGTATACGGCGCAGCTTACACAAATTGTTAAATTTTTACGTCAGAGTCCATTGGATCCAGAACTGTAGTAACAGGGTTAAACATAATTGACCAATTTCAGGTCGATTTCTATGGGGATTCGAGAGAGAATATACACTTACCGACAACATCCTGGGACAAGTTTCCCGTAATCCTCGTTATGTAAACCGATCTGAGAGCCGTTGTGCAGTTTCATAATGACCCGGATCCCCCTATGCCTGAATTATTACATCTCATTTGACCTAATTATAATCAGGGGACCCGTTGTCACGTCTTTCCGCATGAGAGACAAATGACACGCACTTCCGACCTCTGTCTGCTGATACACCCGTATCCGAAGATGAATGGTTCGGGCCGTGACGACCTTCCTTTGTATTGAAATCAGCTCTGGATTCAATCCGTCTTCGTCATCGGAGACCTTCTCTGTTGAATGGATTGCAATTGCGTTGCTTCGTTTCGTATCCAGATAGCCCCGCGGCTCTTTGGCTTTCGTCTCGGTCCGTCTGTCGGATAGGGCATTTCATATCGGCATTCAATTTTTTTTTGCTTTCAAGTCACGAGTTCGAATGGAGTGTTCTAGTTAAAGGTGACGGACTTTCGTTATTCATTCAGCTGCAGTTTTCATTTGAGAGAATTCCAAATATAGAGCGCGAGGGGGGAAGTAAATGAAAAGGGGTCCTTCTTTTATTAAAAATAAAATAAAAGAAATCACGATCCAGGATGGGAACTTGAGCATGACACAGAAAAACGAAGAATTAGGCTTGACAGAGAACTCATTTTTATAATAGCTGATAGGTAAGTCTGAAGTTTGAACGCGTGTGGTACGGGCGAGAAGAGACTGATTCTGAGGGCTGATGATGGCTGGTGGAAGTCACAAAGCGATGATGATAAACGTTTGCATTCTAATAACGTAAGGTGCAAATGCGACCATCCCAGAAGAATCTCTGATATGGAATAGAGAAGCTGTAGCAGTTTGAGACGATCTGAAGCGTATTTCGAGGGAGATAGCAGTGGCATACCGGTGCCAATGCGGTCTGTAGATTGAGAAGCAAGTAACATGAAATCGTATGGTGATTCAAATAGACCTATTGGAAGCCATGTGGTAGTTATTAGTGGGCTTCCTTAAAACGATAGAACCACTTTTAGTCCTGTCTAGCCTGCCTGTCTATGTGTTCATAATTGCTTAGCTTTTACCTATTGCTACTGTTAAGAGCGTTTAACGACGTATCTCGCAAAAGCATAACAGGAGGTGCAATCGTTTCCCGTTCTTTAAAGCTATTTTCATCCGCCGATTTCCACACTCAGGCTGAAATTTAATTCGATCGATATTTTTGTCTGGGAGAGGTCGGCGAGAGTAACTTTCAGTGAGACAGGGCCGGCGCCTAGCAACGTTTACATCTTTTTTTTCGTTTTGCCCTACCTTTGGGCATCGCCATCAGCTATTTGCAACCCTGCCGATAGCAGATGGTGCAACACTGACAGCCGATACCGATGATTGTCGATACATCGGTACAGTCCAGGTATGTATGTATTCTATAGAAGAGGAAAGTATCCACTTAACTCTGGCTTGATTCACTGGGTATATTAGTAATGGATTGCAATCCGAGCCTGAATGCGTAACCCAATACCATCCGTGGATCAAGAAGAGGTAACTGTCCCCTGATTGAAAAGTTCAAGAGAGAAGAAAGTAAGAATAAAAAGAGGAAAGAGAAACTGATCTAGACTGAAATCTAAGTAAGTGAAGAATATTATTTCTGGGAGGGTCAATAGGTAAACACCTTCCCAGACTGTATGCCTATCTACATGGACCAAAAGGTGAAGAAATCCAGAGACTTATACATAGGATAGGCGCATGAGCTCAGTCCCGGAGACCAGCCAAGTCGTGGCATTACAGTAGAGCCTAGCCATGGACCAAGAAACTAGGCCAGGCCTTGGATCAAGAGAGCAGCCTTAGCTTATGGCTAGTAAGGCCAGGTTCAGACAGAAATCTCCCTCTGCTTGGTCAGTGCCAGTACATATCTACTGTATTTTCGCAAGTCCATTCTTTGTCCGATGTTGTACTGTATTTGTGGGCTCGTGCTGAGATTTGGGAAACAAATACGGTTTCTCTTTCGTGCATGAACCACATGTTTCTCGGCGTTTAAGAGGGCTTGACTTAGGGTGGTTTTGTGATGGGACAGTTGAGCATTACGTGGGGGAGGCAGGAATGGGATGGGAGAGAACCTCAGCAGGAGGAACTTGTGCCCATCGTTTTCTCACGAATTGTTGGGCCTCATCCATCACTTTTCGTTCCAGTGAGAGGATAAAGAGTTCTGCGCTCAGGTCCTCCGACGAGAGTGTCCACAACGTTCATCCATTTTTTTCTCCGAGACCTCCCGGGGACCCTGTAAATGGGTCCGTAATGGGTCATTAGCGCCAGAATACTTCTGTCAGTGCATGAATCACATACTTAATCTTACTTTTAAATAAATATCGATCCTCCTCGCGAAATCTTAAGAATATTCTTCGCGGATCTATGGAGTGCACCCGTGGCTATACCCGACTCGATGTAGTCCAGTGTTGCTGTCGGTAATCGAAATGTGGGGGAAAATGTTTCTTTTTCGATGACGACAGGTAAATGTAATTCCTGCCCAGATTTTTTCGGATGAAGGGGAAGTTCTGCTGAGGAAAATGTCTGGAACATCCCTGCTCTTGACGGGGTTCAAGTAGTTGTACGTGAGGCTCTCCCCCATAACTTCACAGCGGTAACATCCCTCGACTGGCCTGATAATTCCGCTTCTCTCGTTGGTGATTGGCGCAGACTCAACTTTCATTGTCGTCTTACTTAGCCTTCATGCAATAGAATAGATATGAAACTTGAATTTTATATTGGAAATCGGCTACGTAGTGTGGAGAGCAAGCCAACTTTACGGTACGAAGATAATTTTTTGAAGGAGAGAAAAAAGCTCAGCTGACACCTTACCCTTATCTGTCCCTCCCCCCCGCCCCAATGTTACCAAATAGTTTCGCACTTTTTCTCGAATTAACGCCAAGGGGCAAAGGTAGAGATGTAATCAACAGGTTGCTGGTGCTAATTATACAATTGTTTTGAATTGCATAGCGATTTCTCCTCAAATTTTCCGTTTTAGTCCTCGGCAACTGTTCCATCGACGAGAGACAGGGGATTTTAGGTTTTTTTTTTGACAGCGCAAAGGACATTTCGTGTATAACGATTTCTTTATTTTGCCGTGTTTGATTAGGAGGCCCTGCGGTCTGAATTGAGGGGTTTGTGTCACCAACATCAGGCGTGCGAGGTGGAGACGACGGGGAACGAGACGTGCCTCGCCATCGGGACGAGGATTCTAGTCACCTTCAAATGTCGTCCCAGTGAGCTACTCTTCTCAGTCCATGCGCGTTCGTGGGGCAAGAATCCAAAGATAAAAAAATCTCCACGGTTATTCCGTGTCCTTAGATGTGTATAGCAAGCGGATCTTCTGCGGGAGGAAGAGCATCGCCCTGGAGTGTCCCGACGGCTACATTCTCGCCCTTTATTCCACCAACGTCTTCTCCGGGGAATGCCCGCCCAGCAACGGATTCTACGAACAAAGTATTGCGCTGCATTTCGTTCACTCCCCGGGGTAGGGGAGAAAATACAACGGTTATATGCTTTTGAAACAGGCAATAGAAAGTAATTGATGAGAAGAAGAAAGAGAGCACCGCGAGATTTTCATCTTCCATAATCCCTGCCTCGCACTAAAAAAATTGGATTGTTTTTATGAATGCAATGGAGGTGAATGACCTGATTGGCACAAGGAACCAGACAGGAATCTCATTCATAACAGCAACTCCATTTTTGTATTATGGATAGCAGGGTTTACGACAGGTCAAAGTTTCATTCTCCCTTTTATTTGTAATTTTTGGTTGGCCAGTACGGAATTATAAGAGAGGGTAATCTGTAAGCTATAAGAACAAATGCGGAAGTTGTGGGACATGCACCAGGTCTGTTTAATCTGTTCTGGTTTTACAATTGGAATCTACGAGAATGAGATTATAACTATTTCATACCGATTTCCATAGGGGTCCACGAAGAAATGATTAGGATGTAGGATTTCATGAAGGTCATTTGGTCAGGGCAGAGGGCTCACTCAAAGCCCAAGCAGTGTACAGGGATTAGAGCCTTTAATGGGTGACTTCAAAAGTTGAGATGAGCCAAAGCTCAATCAATGTAAAGCAGGTACTCGAATATTGCACGGCGCAGATTTTCATCCGTCTCTGAAGAAGACTTTCAGCTGGACCGGGATTTCGGCGGTTATGAGAGAAGCTCCTTCTCGTCTCCTATTAGACCTGCGAGGTATTGAGAAAACCTGCAAGGTTTTTCAACATTCGCGTGAATCCCCCCCAACTGCTACGTACATGCATACGTTAGATATTAAGAAAGCCAGCCAGGACATGTGAGTGAGGTCTTGTGTCTGCTCTAATCCCGTCGTTAAGGCCCATGACGCGACAATATTTTTCATCCATACATTCCTCAAGTGTGAGTTATTAATGTTGAAGTTTCCTATTGTTGCTGTTGGGATGTTCTACTTTAACACACCATTCCAAAAAAAACGGCGGATTCGCAACGGCTGGATGAACCCTTACATCTTTTCACCATCGCCCTGCCGAGACTCCTGCAATAGTCCTTATATAGTGTGATTTAAAAAAAAAAACGCTCTACCGCTTTCTATGGGAGAAACAAAGTTTCATAAAGGCAAAAAAAAAATTTTTAATTGGCTACGCGATCGACAGTGGACGGTTACAAGGTGTTGAGATGCATGTCAGCTTTTTTTCAGCATCCCTCCCTAAGTCATGTAATGCCCATTTAGAGGTAAAAAAAAGGTGCTTTAAGGTGAATAATTCCACCTCAAGTGAGGTAATGATCTGTGCTCGACCGTCTCAGAATTCAATGAAATTTGGCAAACGGTCGGATTATTTTGAGAATAGCCCGCAGGAAAAAGAAAGCATGGTTGTACTTCGAGCGGAGCCAATAAAAGTGAGTTTTAATTTGATCTAGGCACAAAATGGTCCCCAATCCCCAGATGCTAAATTCCTGACTACACGGTTATTATAATGTCACCACCCTATTTTGATTGGCTATACCTTTTCAAGGGACAGTTTGATGCAGCTGATACTTGAACGAGAGGTTCATACGTGTATGAGGTTTTTTAACATCCGCAAGATGGCACTGTATGCCGATAAAGGGCGCTGTGGCTGACCAGAGGGTTCCTATCTTCGTGCTACACCACTTTTTTGGCAGTAAAATAAAACCCGTAAGGTTTATTTTTTGAGCCTTTGAACTTTACATGAGCCTCTCTGCCAATTTAAAAAATATGAATTTAGTCAAAATCGGTTTTAAGTTTTTTTAAATTTTGAGATGATGGAGACCATCATTGCATTTGAGATGCAATGATCCACCTGTAAACTTTGTAACGGGACAATGCACAGTTCAGAGAATTGTTCAGAGAAACACCCAGACAATCTTCTCAACACCTTGAATATGTCCAATATCAAGAGTTTATTAATCTTATAATTTTTGCTCGAATCTTAATTTCTCCCATAGAAAACGGTGGATCGTTTATTTTGAATCACCCTATATATTGTAATCTGCATAAAAGGCGAGGAAGAGAGCTTTCCAACGATGTAGAATTCGCCGTAATCTCAGGACGGAATTCTGAGTTATGAACCAGGAAAAAAGCTCGAGGCAGCTCTAAGTTTTTTTCTAATGGGAAATGAGTGATGTGCCCCAAAATAAAAGAAATAGATAAAAAATAATAATAATAATAATAATGTTATTATTAACAATAAAATAGTAATAATGAAAGGTAAATAACTAGAAATGGAAAATAAATGTAAACATTCCTTTAAAAGCTCAGTTTTAGACTTAATAAAAAAAAATCATTCGAATTTTCTGGTGATTAAAAACGGTAGAGATCCGAAAACCACAGCAGATGGGTTTGCGAAACACTGCTGAGTGCCAGACTCTTCAATTTGGTTACCTTCACGTGAGAATTGGTGTGTTAGATGAGATGAGTCGGATCAATTCCAAGTATGAAAATCTTAATCCGAGTCCGAATACGAACAATTAATCCTCGTCAACTTCTGTCATGGCTTAACCCGTCAAGCGTGTAATTTTAATTTCCTAAACAATGTGAAATCCTCAAAGTTTACATATGTACTCATCGCCAAAAAGAACACGATCACGAAGGACATGACTGATCCTGATGAAACTAGGTACACTAGTTTGTACTTGCGTACCATGACATAAATTGAGTTTCAACGGTGTGGGATGATTCTTCGCGGAGAAAACTTGCTAAAATTTGCAATTTCAATATTGACCATGGGATCATACTAATCGCCTGAAACGGTCCTGTAGAAGGCTTTTATCAGTGAAACTTTCCGGAAGTCTCCTAAAGGTGTGCAAAAAAATCGAGCAGAGGTTCAAGGTCCTGAGATGAGACAATGAAGAGAAAACTTGCGAAATTCCCAAGGAATGGAGGAAGAGGGCGACGCCATTGGAAGCCCCTGCTTTTCCTTTTCTCTTTCCCAAAACCACTTCATTATGGGGTCGTTGTTTATAGTCATATTTTATAACGCAATTGATTGCCAATCTTAAATTTTGTATCGTTAGAAAGGGCATAACAAGTACCTTCCAATAAATTCAATGGAATGAATATTCCAATGAATTGCTCGAGATTTGTGGAGAAGCAAGTGCAGGTATCGGTCGCAGAAGTTGGTCAAACTGTTCGAACAAGTGAAATTTTGGCACCACTGCTAGAGTCAAATATTCATATCTCATGAAGCCATTGAGTGCCAATCTCGAATTTAGTGCCAGAAATGGCAAACCATGCACTTTCGAATGGTGTATTGAAACCACGAATTCACGAGGTGGCTAGCATAGATATTGGCCACTGAACTTGATCAAACTGTTTGGTCAAGTGAAACTTCTGTTTCATGGTTTGGAGAATAGTGTCTAGAATCAAATTAAAGACGGCAATTTCAAAATTAAAATGACACCAGAATTAAGCTTGCATCTTAACTAGAAGAGAAGTTATTACAGAAACAGTTTCACAATTCCAGTCCGTATGGGCGCAAGGAGCCAAAAATAGATCACATTCTAATTTATATATCTGGAGATCTGTTCGAGAGATAAAAAAATTGGTTTAAATTAGTTTCTTTAAATTGATTCCTCTACGTGTATGCCGATTTTCGTCCAAATCGGAGATGATCGAGCTCACGCCCTGGTCGAATTGGCGTGGAATGACCCGGAGGAAAAATGGAACTTAAGAATATAAGAAACTGGAAGAATGAACTCAAATTTAATTTTTTTACTGTAGGTCTCTATTATTTATAGAATAACTAGTTGATATAGATAATGATTTATCTGTTGGTCGGTTTGTCGAGCAGTGTGTCTGGAGACGAGCTCGAGCGAGACGTTTTTCAAGGGTCGATGCGATGGGAGGACGCGTTGCGTAGTGAAACCTCAAGAACTGAAGACTTTCTGCCCTGGCACAGACAAGTCCGTCATGACTCGCATCGTCTACACATGTGGTAATTCACCGCCGCCCACTACGAGTGGGTTCTTGCTCTCCTTTTTAGCTGCTAACGGAATCTAAAGAAAGGAGACTAAAAGTCCGTTACTAGCTAAAATTATAAAAGAGAGTTCAAGAACTCAGAATAAACCTCCGAGAAAGTAATATCCATGCGAAGGAGCTGAGTTCTCAAGAGTGAAATTTTCAGAAAGTACAGGGCGTTTCAAAAGTAACTTTCGCTGTTCAGACGACTGCCCCAGGAAACCGATGGACGCAACGTTGTGATTCCTTACCTTAATGAACATGGTGTGGTGCATCATAATTTCATGCAAGATGTGCTCCACCACACATTGCAAACCCTATGAAAAAAGTTATCTGGGACACTTTTTGAGAGCATATCATAAGTCGTCACTTTCAACAATCCTGCCTGCAAGATCGCCTGACCTCACCGCAGCAGACTTCTGGCTTTGGGGTTACTTCAAGAGCCATGTTTACCGTAATGGCCTCACCACATGTCACGAGTTGAAGGAGAGCATACGGCAGGAGGTCCGCTCCATACCCCCTGATATGCATCGAGCAGGAGTTTGGAATGTGTTGTCACGATTGGAGATTATGACTATCACAAAAGGAAAGCACATCGAACAGCTATTATACAAACGTATGCCATTTGTGGACCATAGGTGCCATTTAGTGTGACCATAATACCATCATAAACCACCACATGACTGGGTACGTTTTCTTCCGCATGGTTAAATTGGTCTACACACCAAATTTTACTACGTTGTGTCCATCGGTTTCCTGGAGGCAGTCGTCTGAACAACGGAAGTGACTTTTGAAACATCCTGTATTTCTCTTAGGATTATCTTATCACCAAAAAGGGCAACACGAAATTAAGCAATATTGATAAAGTTTTGTCGCGGAACTCGTATTAGTATGTTATAAACCCCACCCATTAACATGAAGCATCATCAGATGCTTCATGCCCCACCCCGATGTATCACATCATCTCTGTAATGATACCTTCCTCTTTCTCGATGCGGGTTGTTTTCATGCAACAAAGTCATTTTCATAGATAGCCTGTGCAGACCCAGGGTTTGTACTTGGCATAGAAGACTTGCCTGGAGAGGATAGCATGAAGTCGTAAAAATCCCCATTATTTTTTACAATGCACCGTCAGAGAGAAAAAGCAGATCTTCGTCACATAAACGTAATAATAGATCTTGAAAAAGCACTCATGAAAACGGTGCTGTCATGCTGAGTAGAGCAAGAGAAGTGTCATGAACCTTGGTGACGTCACAGAAAGTAACATGTCAGCAGTGCTGCCAAATTGGACAAAAAATGCGGATGCTTATGTGAAGATTGGCGTGAGCTCTCCCTCCACATGATGAATCGTCATCACAGGCCGGACCCCTCTCACCCTTCCCCCACGCTGTTGACGTAATACATGAACGTTCCCATTGACCTTCAAATTTAAATAGATTTCTCTAGACATTATTACAGTTTCAGCACCGAAATTAGTCAATTTACCTCCACTATTTGATGTTCAATTTCTTTCATGAGCCATTAAATATATATTTTTTTAAATAGAAACTATCCAGTATGAGGTTGTCTCCTCCATTGCCTCTGCAGGTCAGATTTTTAGAATAAGAAAGGAATTTATAAGGAGTAATTCATCATGCTAGAACTTTATAAGAAAGTTTTTACAGGCTCCGAAGATGAAAGAACCGTAAGAGAAAACGGACAGTTCCAAAGCCACAGCCTCACACTTTTGAGAACTGAGAGAATCTTTGTTTGGAAGGTTTGGGGAATGTTTTCAGTCGGGTTTTTCATTGCAATCTCGTTTTCTGGCACCAAGATCAACAAAGAAAGAAAAGGTGGCCAATTCTGTCTCGTGGAAGGACTTGGCAAGCCTGCCGACGTCGATATAAGAAGGGAGAAAAAAAAATTAGAGCTTCCTCCCTTGCACCGTTTCTGTTTAGTTATTCCCCCTGTGCCCAACAGTTGCGGACAAGGTGCTGTGGAATGCAGTGACCGAGAGATCAACAGAAGCAGAGCTACGGAAGGCGGATGGGGTGATCGCAGGCCACGACCTCACCCCCGCCTCTTCCCCATCCTCTTCCCCTTCCCCATCCTCTTCCTCTTTCTCTTCCTCTTCCTTTCGCCCTTCGAACAGCACCCCCATGCCGGTTCCAGTCCTTGGTGAGTCTATTTCTTATACTTTATCCTTGTGTTTCATCAGATCATAAGTACGAAGACCGTTTCATGCGCCCATACCGGTGCTTGGAGTCGATATTAAGGATTAGTTCCTTCAGGCAGGTCCTAAACTTGGTCTGAATGTTCACTGTTTCGTTCTGCCTGAAGATAGTCTTGCAGAGCCGAACACCAGCATTCACGATCTCTCCTTGTGTGCATAAAACGAGACGGGGAGAGATAACGATGTTTCACACGCTGCTTTATGATGGCGAAGGGAGTATTTTCATTGGCATGACTCTACTCTTCTCCATTTTGCCTCTGAAAGTCAAGGGGTCTTTAAAATAATGCCCTTTGCCATAAAAAAAATATAGTTAATGTATGAACATACGACAAAACGGAGATGACTGGATTCGGCGATTTTTTTTCTGGGAGATACCACCTGTTACTAGTTTCTGACCAAAGTCGGAATTGCAGTCTTTTGCCGTGGGACTACTGCGCACCTAGCAAATACTCTCCTCTCTCAAAAGTATCCGGATTCTATGTATAATAGAGGGTCGAGGTATCAGCAGGCCAAATATGGTGTAGAACTTCTGTTGGCGTGAAAAACTGCTGTGATACATAGATGCTCGGCGTCCTCTTGTTCCCGACAGCGTGCTGGTGGGATCCTTTCAACTCTTTCATGCTTGAGCAAGTTCTTGAGGCATTGGTGGAGCTTTATGCAAGCGTCTTGATGCATGCTCCTGCAGAGTAATGTTCTATCTCTTGCTGCACGAAGTACCAATGCGTTTCTTGGGCATCATGTCATCGCCCTACTGCCATAGCCTGCACAGAGCCCTTGCCTCAACCCATTGCACTCCTGCAGGACCATCTAAAAATACCGAAATTTGCAGCATGTTTCACAGCCTTATGCAGCTGTCCAAAACATTTACAAGAACTTGTAATGGTGGAATGAAAGAGAATCCCTCTGAAACGCTGTCGGGAACTGATTGACATCGTACCTCAACGCACGTAGCAGCTACTCACCCCAGCAGTGGTCCTACAGAATATTAGACCTGCCAATTCTACAACCCTACGGTATGGTGGCCGGATACTTTTGACATGACAGAGTGGAGCAGTAACTGCCCAATCCGGATGCAACCGCTGCTTCAGAGATACTGAGGCTCATTGTGCACAGGCAACTCCCTTACGCATGATTACCGTATGCACGCGTCATGAACTCACTTCACGTGCCTGGTCTCTTGCGGGGTTCTCGGAGATTTCACCCCTAAAAGTCGAAATGTAATTTGTATCGCGAAATTTGACGGGTCAGTTTCAGTTATTTCTATTAGAGGTCTCTTGCAGCTGCAATAGTCTCTCGAGTGATAATTAAAAAAACCCTGAAGCTCTGGATATCACTAAGATTATTGCAACTGGGTCAGGCAGCCTAATTAACAACTTATGATGTCAATGGTCAACTCTCCGTTTACCTTATAATGCAATATTGTCAATTTTTGTGTTGGATATGCATAATACCCGCAGAATCTGTGCATTCTTCCCCGGGAGGAGACCGGGTGATGGCAGAGGGGAATGAGAGTTCGATTACTCCTCCACCTACTCTAGTCTGTGGGGACACTCAAACTCCATCTGCCCTCTTTGGGATCCTCCAGGAGTGGGTCACTGCCTATAGATTCCTCAAAGGTTCGCTTCTCTTTCCTTCCTCTGACTCGGCTTTTCGTTTCATCTGATGATGTCAGCAGAGATCAGCCAACGTAGATAACTGACTGAAAGTGAAGTCTTCATTTTTTCAGAGTAAAGCAGAATTTTTATTTAAATCTCTTCTGAGTCTTTCCTGAAAAGATCGTTCAATTGTCCAGTTTTTCACTATCACAGGAACTGTGCCAATAATAAATGTGATCAGCCGACCTCGTTAAAATGGATAAATAGGGCATGTTTTGTTGCTGGTCGTATAAACAGAGAACCGAGAGAAGCTGATTTTGTACCTGGTGGTGAGCATGGCTGGGGCAGTCCTGGCGGTATGTCTCGTCCTCATCCTACGTCTCTACTGGAGTGCATACAGGCTGAAGCGACGGGAGGAGGCGGCAAAGGCAGAACCTGTCCCCACTTTCCTCAGCACGGAACCCAGTGGCGAAGACAGTGAGAACTTGCAGGTCTCGATCCGTACGCCCACAGACAGGTAGTGCTACGTGGGAGGAGGAGAACAGGGGGAATCCTCGGCATCTGTACTCCTCCAGCTCTCCCCCGCAGCCTGAGCACTTCAGGAGAGAAGAAGCGCGGGTCTGGGCCGATTGCCTCATAGTGCAAATAGGTGTTCGTCCATCCGCCGACCACACGAGAGGAGAGAATGCGGTGCACCCACAGTCTACATCGGGACAGGGAAGGCGGGGAACTTGGCCACCTGCCTTGTCCTGTGGTTAGGAGATTGGAAACCTGCTCGTCTCCATTTCTACACCCACCGACAGCTGCGGTGCTCTGCTTCACTGCACTGCTGGACAGAACAGAAAGGGACGAGAAAACATCACGGTGCTGTTTCGTTGTGTTCCTGTGCATGTATCCATTGGCAGCTTCTATGTGAGCATGAAAATCACTATTTTATCAATATTCTCCTCGGCAGGGGTGTCAAACTCGATTCATATGAAGTTCGAAATGTGACCTTTAGAGATAGTCAAGGAGCCTCAGACCTGAATGCGTCGTTGTCAGTTACAGGACAGAGGACAAGGAAGGAGGTGGAGTATTAGTGTCAGTTGTGGGAGTTTTAGTTAATATGAAGGGTTTCCGGCAAAAACTATCGAATTTACAACGGTTGATATCAAGTAAATCTAGATTTAAGATTCGGAACAGGTTTGTAGTGATTTTCCATGTCGAAAATGATTATCAAAATCTGACTACGCAAAGTGACGTACCTTTTCTTTCTTTCCAGTTTCTTTCCAGATATTTTTTGTTTACTTCGTTGTTCCCGGCAACCCTTCTTTTGCAATGATGCTGGTTGGAAAAATCAATGCTACACTCCTTAAAACAGAGAAGGGAAGTCTACTTTGAATTTGACTTTTAAAGCATTCCATTCCGATAACAGCGATCTTCCCACCTTCTGACCTTCCCGTGTGTCCTCACCGACTTCCTTTCCTCCGTGTCTCTATGGGTCGATTGATGAATAAGGGGCTGAACCCGGGATATTTTAAACCTTGGTTATCAATAGTGTTTGCTATTTTCAAAGGTGGCACTCTTGTTATTCGGCATTCTTTTTACAATATTTATATATTTTTGCATTCGTCGAGGTTTACCAATTTTTCCTATTCGGGTCTGCGGACCAGGCGAAAAGCTCAGATGGGCCTTGCAGGCTCTGCGTTTGACACCCTTGCTCCGTTGCATTCCCCTACACCTCTTCAAAGTCAATCTCATAAACATCCTTCGGGGTTAAATCTTTTAGTAGCACCTGAACTTCAGATTTGTCTTGTTTTTATTATCATATTCAGGCAATAATTTTTTATGACTTTTTTTTTGCTTTGCCTATGTGACGGTATTTACCATGATGACCTCCCAGAAAGCTTTATGATGAGTGTGCCAAGTTCCCTCAAGGGCAAAAGATGTTGGTTTATCTGAAATTATTTGAGAAGATGCAAGAATATATGTTCCCTTTCTAATATTTATATGTGTGGATTTCCTTATCTCCTTCCATTGGTTGCATCCAACCTGATTCGTTATGCAGACAGTTATGAATGAGAAGGACACGAGTAGGAGAGATAAAACCATAGACCACGGTTGAATAATGCATATGTTGCTATTAAAGAACAAAAGACTCTGTGATGACTCTATGTTGAGGTGTGACAGGCCGACTTGTCCTCGAGAGAAACTCTTTTGATACTCGGATGGAGTTACCATCATTCTGTGACCGGTCGAGGAACGTCTGCTTCTTCCTCTCTCTTGTCGTGAAACCCCGGTGATGCCCTTGATGTGACCTTTTAACCTCTCTAGCCGTAGGAATTCGCAAATGATGGAAGCTTGTAGGTGGCTTTCAGCAGCGACGTGCCGTCGGGGGAAGGGTCTAAAGGGGCATTCCCCCCATTTCAAAAAAGCAAAAGGAAGATCCATGAAATGTACGAGAACAGTTTCCCAGAGCTCCACACACACACGCATTTTCTTCATACTCGCCTCGCTTATGATTTCAGCTGTTTTCAGAAGAAAGTGCTGCGGAAAGGATAAGTCTCTTTACCACGTCGCATTTAGGCTTTACCACGTCGCATTTAGGCCTTGTTTGATTTCTCCACACTCACGGTATAGCCACCTGAGCTTGAAAAACCATCCCTTTACCCAAGAGAAGGTAATCCATGTTGTGTGATTCAAAGTTTCCTTCTTATGAATTTTGTTGGATGATCGGGAGGTGGAGGATTAAGGACGCTCCCTCTGCTAAGGTCCATTAGCTTTCCCAAAAGTCAGGCAGGGACAAATGTAGGACAGATTCAGGGCTAGATGAATAGATTGAACAAAATGATGGGAGAAGACTTTTTGAAGTAGAAAAGAAAGGCTGGAACGTATGAGACGTGGAAACGGTCGATCCAGTCGAGGGGAAATGGGGTAGGCCTATGCAGGTATTAAAAATAAAGTATAAGTTTTCCGAATCGCGCTTCATGTCAGCAGCAAAGCTAGAATTAAATGCGAAATGTTCTGCAGGGTTATGTGAAAATCTGATTTTATTTCCTCGATCCCCAAATCAACTTCAGACCAATTCAGATAGTCCTTTCCAAGACCTATAAAATGTGGGCTTTACTAAGAACACTGTCGACATGCCTATTCCATGGCTGGCAAGCCATGGCGACAAAAATGAAAAAAGGATTTAGGATGGGTTCGAAGGATGAGTCGATTTCGCCACGAGGCAACAGTTCTAGTCTGAACGACACCTACCTGTTACTTGGCGACAGGCGACGATGAAGAGATGGAGAAGCCTCGGTCCATCAGAGATTCAGTGAAATATGTGAAAATGTTTCGCTCTGGAACTCCTACGACCAACAAATTCTGAGAGAAATTCTATTTCGTTTCTGGGTGTTTCTGGGATGTTCGTGAAAAATGCGGTATGGGAAGTTTCTCTTCTCGCTGGTAATCGAGATACTTTCGGAGCCGAACCTCTTGAAGATTCGTTCACGGCAGATCGGAGTCCTCTGCACAATATGGTTGAAAAGTGTTATTGGAGCGACGTCTACGCATTGGAGAGAAGATAAGTTGGATGTCTTAGAGGGAAGCGGATTACGTGGACTTTCCGAAGACTTGAGGTTGAGGACATTGGAAAAGTGCCATCGACCCACACGACGATGAAGAACGTCGAGAGCATAAATCCCAAGGGATCCCCCCGATCCCTTGGGATTTATGCTCTCGACGTTCTTCGTTTCTTTATTTTCATCCTAGAATTTACACGTATTTGAATTTGCCTTATTTCCTACGGCCGCTCGCTCGATGAAGCCCCCCTGTCGATGCAGGGTTCAATGTGTGAAGTTATCGCCAGGAGAAATGCTTCACTGCAGACCGTGCCATGCAAAATATGAAATAGCATTATTACATCTGAAAACGCATAATGTCGCAAATATAATTATGCTGGTTACAAATTTTTCATCGTTTAGGAACAGGCAGAATTCCTACGGTTGGTCCACTTCGTCCTCGAGAAATTCATAGACGTCAGGTAGAAGTGATTCGTCATGGAAGGAAATTCTATCGTCCACATGAAAGCTGGGGAATGGATGAGCCTTCTCCAAGGTTTCTGTGGTGAACTATGGCAAACGAGAGCCAGGAAGCTTGAATGGAATCGGTGAAAAAGGAAAACACACGTGGTGCGGGGCTTTTATGGGCAGGATAGCGAACGGATGGATTCCCTACGATTTATCACGCCTTTAGAGAGCCTCGGGTATCGCTCGACCCTCTAGAGGAGGGGATGTATGCATGGTCCCCATCGCATCCGATGGGGACCATGCATACATACCTTCTTTGGTATGGAGATGTCGATTTTAGCTGTAACTCCATGCGCTCTTTCTGTCAGTCAGTATCAGAGGATGGAGTTCCGGCATGCCCTTTCGACTATTCTCCATCTCCCTCCAAGGTGTTCGAAGCCATTTGTTCCCCTCCTCTCATTCACTTTTGACAATGTTCCTTCACCCATACGGTTAGAAAATTTGGCTCTTCTCTTTCCGTCCGAAAGTGTTCAAATAAACCAAAGATCGATACAACATACCGCCCTCCGTGAACAGCAGAATGATGTTACAATAAAGGCTGCCAGATTTCGCTTGCTCGTTTAGAATCCAAAATGTGAAAAATATTATATTAGAACGTGAAATCTTCTTCCAGGTACTATTTCCAATCCATGAAGGGAGATGCTTTGGGCTTTGATTCTGGTTCTTTTGTAATCCTTTCGACGCATGGGTGTGGTTGGTCCTTTTCTACCGCGCATCACACAGCCTGTATTTGGGGCCCTGCTCTAGACAAGCTCTAATGAATTTGGTCGGTAAGTTCGAGGAGACGGGTTGTGCTTGCAACAAGCCGCATGGAGGCAGGCCGTGAACCACTGTAAATGATGTCGCTGAAATCAGAGGTGCGATTGACGAAGAGCTTAGCACAAGTGCACATGGAACGAACAAATCCATGTTTGGACACGTTCTTGGACACGTTTCAGCTTGTACGGAAACATTTGTAGAGTTTACCTTAAAACCTTGGCACGGTTGAATGAGGAAGATCCAGAATGCGGGCGCCAGCACAACTGCTGCTCGTTCCATGTGCATTTGTGCTAGGTTCTTCGTCAATCGCACCTCTGATTTCAGCGACAAAATCTACAGGGGTTCATGGCCTGCCTCCATGCGGCTTGTTGCAAACACAACCCGTCTCCTCGAACTTATCGACCAAATTCATCAGAGCTTGTCTCGAGCAGGGCCCCAAACGCAGGCTGTGTGCTGCGCGGTATTTTCGCAAGGCAACAACAGTATTACACTTGGTGTAGAAAAGCTTTATTAGTTCACCTCTCTACTTCTTAGTCAAAGTCAACACATTTCTATTTATGACTGAAAATTATTACGTACTTTCAGTGGTGGTACCAATACTGCCAAGAGTGCAAATATGGAAGAAATTTTTTTTTTATTTTGCAAAACAGTCTCAAATAAAATCCTATTACCCCCTGAGTATCCCCCTAAAATTTCACTGTCCTATGCCTTACCGTTCCGCAGATATCGAACTTCAAAAGTGTAAGTTTTTTAATGGACACCCTGTATATTGCAAACTAACAACAGTATAAGGGACCTGTATACCTATATAATAATATATAGTTACATATATCTAATATATTAAACATGGCCAAAACATGATATGGACTGAATATTTTCAAATATAGTTCCCATATAAAATTGTCATATGCGTCATATACTGTACATTACAACTAAGCACCATATAAGGAGCTTATATATTGGGTTGGAAAGAAAGTCTTGCAACACTCTGCGCAAATTTTTCAAAATTTATAACTTTATTGAAATGCAATTTCAGTCTACAATGTAATGACCATTGTTGTCTATGACATGTTCCCAACGCACGGGTAACTGCTCGATGCCCTTTGCCCAGAACTCTGGCGATTGCGAAGCGAAGAAACGGCCGACATCATTTTCGAGCTGTGCTCGATCGTCGAAGGCCTTGTCCCGCAGGTGATTCTTGAGGGCCCGGAACAAGTGATAGTCGGAAGGGGCCAAGTCCGGAGAATACGCTGGATGGGGTAAAA